CGGGGGGTCAAGGTACAAGCAAGGCAGGTGGGCTGGGTCCAGCCAGTCCAATGCCCCCGGATGGTCCAGAGACTGGCTTTCAAGGTGCTTTATCGTGACCATGAAGTCATAGCGCCAAGGCCAAAAAGATGGGCGTCGAGTCCACCCGGGGCAGCAACGAGCCACTCACATTACATGTTGGTACCTCCACGGGCAGGCACCACCCACCTCGGAGGCGCATCCTCGTCTTCGAGCTCATCGTCCTTGACGCGAAGAGACCTAGCACCCCAAGGCCGACCAGGACCAAGACCGTCAAGACCCAAGACCCCAAGACCCCAAGACCCCAAGACCAAGAGCTCATCAACCCACATATCCTTCCGCGTTTCCCACGTCTACAAACCCAGGTCTCGACTTTCTTCATCTTCCCCATTCCCACCTCTCTCTCTTCCTCTCTTCCTCCCCTCGAGCAGACTCTCTTCCTCCAGAGCCTCGACTTCTTTTGTTTCTTCCTTCACTTCCCCCCCGCACCTACTCGCCCTCCAAAGCAGTCCACCTCCCCTCCAAACCTATCACCAACAGTGTCGGCTACTCGCCGTCCCTACATGAGGAGCTTTGCCGCGACACCCTGGATCGGACGGGACTCATCAGAGACTGAGACCCTTTCGGAACCCGGCTGACAGCCTTCTACCGACTTGAAGGACGGGGACAACCACCAATTCCTCTCCATGTCTCCTTGATTGAAGCGAAGCCCTTTTTTGCGCCGCTCTCATCACCTCCCACAATTTCCCTCCCTCAGTGCTAGGTACACTCACCCTAGCAATCAGCCAAGCCCAGCATCAGCATTGGCATTGATTCCATTGCGTTCACGCCAAGAGAGAAAGAAAACAACAGCAGCACGACCGCGAACACCCGCTTTTTTCGAAAGACGTCGTTGGAATACACGTCTCTCAGTAGCGAAACTTTGTGTATTTACGCTGCAGTAACATCCATTGCTGACCATGGGTAAAGACAACTCCGAACAGGAGGATGCCGTGGCCAACCACGTCTCTGGCCAGGCCAACAAGCCTCTTTCGCGTCCTCCTCACTGCTTGACCATTGATGAGACCGTGGCCGAGCTGAAGGCCAATGCTGAAGATGGTCTGACAGACGCTGACGCCAAGGCGCGTCTGGAGGAATACGGCCGCAACCAGTTCGGCGAGGAGAAGGGCGTTCAGCCCGTCAAGATCCTCGTCGCCCAGATTGCGAACGCCATGACACTGGTAAGTTTTCCCTATGACCGGACTGGGGTTGATCGAGGCCCATGCACGACAGCAAACTAACATGGTCGCTCGTAGGTTCTCATCCTTGCCATGGCTGCCTCCTTTGGTATCGAATCTTGGATTGAGGGTGGTGTTGTCACTGGTGTCATTGCCATCAACATTATCGTTGGTTTCCAGCAGGAGTACAAGGCCGCCAAGACCATGGACTCGCTCCGCTCCCTGTCATCGCCTACCGCCTCCGCCGTCCGCGACGGATCTAACCAAACCGTCCCTACTGTCGAGATTGTCCCTGGTGACATGGTCGAGCTCAAGACCGGTGACACTATTCCTGCCGATGTCCGCATCATCGAAGCCGTCAACTTCGAGACCAACGAGGCTCTTCTCACGGGCGAGTCTCTTCCTGTTCGCAAGGAGCCTTCCATGACTTTCGAGGACGAGACTGGCCCCGGTGACCGTCTCAATGTCGCCTACAGCTCTTCGACTGTCACCAAGGGCCGTGCTCGTGGTATCGTGTTCGCGACCGGCATGTACACTGAGATTGGTCAGATTGCTGCTGCCCTCCGCGGCAAGAGCTCCCGTCGTCGTCCTGTGAAGCGCAAGGAAGATGGCAGTGCTAGCCCTGGTCGCTACGTCCAGGCTGGTATTCTTACTGCATACGACGCTGTCGGTGTCTTCCTCGGTATCAACGTCGGCACCCCTCTTCAGCGTAAGCTATCTCAGCTCGCTCTGCTTCTCTTCGGTATCGCCATTATCTGTGCCATCATCGTTCTGGCTGCCAACGACTTCAACACGACCCAGGAGGTCATTATCTACGCTGTTGCCACTGGTCTCTCCATGATTCCCGCCTCTCTCGTGGTTGTCCTCACTATCACCATGGCCGCCGGTACGAAGCGTATGGTACAGCGTCACGTCATCGTCCGCAACCTGAAGTCTCTCGAGGCGCTCGGTGCTGTTACTAGTACGTCACAATGACATGATGCTGACTCGTACAAAGCTAACCCCATTCACAGACATTTGCTCTGACAAGACTGGTACCCTGACCCAGGGTAATATGGTTGTCCGCAAGGCGTGGGTGCCTGGTGTCGGCACCTTTTCTGTCAAGGATGCTACCGAGCCCTTCAACCCAACCAAGGGATCTCTCTCCTCCCGCGTCGAGCAGCCTAAGGATATCTCTTTCCAGGCTGAGGATGCCGAGGGCGAATCGTTCTCCGATGTTGATGGCCAGGTCAAATCGAACACTACGCTTCAGACGTACCTCAATGTTGCGTCTCTGGCTAACCTGGCCACCGTCCACCAGAACAAGGAGGGCGAATGGCACGCTCGTGGTGACCCGACTGAGATCGCCATTCAGGTCTTCGCTTCTCGCTTTAACATGAACCGTCTCGTTCTGTCCGGCGAGGGCAACAACTGGAACCAGATCGCCGAATTTCCCTTTGATTCCGATGTCAAGAAGATGTCTGTCGTCTTTAGCGATGCCGAGGGCAACCAAAACTGGCTCTTCACCAAGGGTGCCGTCGAGCGTGTCATTTCGTCTTGCCCCAAGATCCAGATTGGCGACCAAGTGACCGACCTTACCGACGAGATTGAGCAGGAGATTCTCCGCAACATGGAAGCCCTCGCGCGTCTCGGTCTCCGTGTTCTCGCATTCGCCAGCAAGCAGGATATCGGCCCCGTTGACGGACACGAGAACCTGGACCGTAACCTTTACGAGAAGGATCTCATCTTCCGTGGCCTCATTGGTCTTTACGATCCTCCCCGCCCCGAATCTGCTCCCTCCGTTCAAATGTTCCACAGGGCTGGCGTTAGTGTTCACATGCTGACGGGTGACCACCCCGAAACTGCTCGCGCCATCGCTCTTGAAGTCGGCATTCTGCCCACCCGCATGAACGAGATCGCTGCCGACATCGCTAAGACGATGGTCATGGCTGCCCACGACTTTGACAAGCTCACCGATGACGAGATTGACCAACTTCCCCGTCTCCCTCTCGTCGTCGCACGCTGCGCTCCCCAGACCAAGGTTCGCATGATTGAGGCTCTCCACCGTCGCGAGCGCTTCGTTGCCATGACTGGTGATGGTGTCAACGATTCTCCCTCCCTCAAGCGCGCTGATGTCGGTATTGCCATGGGTCAAGCCGGCTCTGACGTGGCCAAGGAAGCATCCGACATTGTTCTTTCCGACGACAACTTCGCCTCTATCCTGAACGCTGTCGAGGAGGGACGTCGCATGTTTGACAACATTCAAAAGTTTGTTCTCCACGTGCTTGCCCAGAACGTTGCCCAAGCTTGTGTCCTTCTCATTGGCCTTGCCTTCAAGGACGACAGCAACCTGTCTGTCTTCCCTCTCGCTCCTGTTCAGGTCATGTGGATCATCATGATCACCTCTGGTCTTCCCGACATG